GGTGAGGCCATGTCAATATAGGCCTCAACTGGAAAGTTGTTTTTGTTTCTTTGAAATGATGTATGGGAGGCTTTTGTTACATGAAGGTTCAAGAATGTCAATGAAGAAGAGAAGAAAGTTACTCAGTATTTGCATAATGTGGCGCAGGTTTTGTCTTCTATCTCAGTACAGGCCCAGGCTGCCTTACTACCTGTCTCTGGCTATTGTTCCTGGAGAGTGGATTCAGGTGAAAAGAACTGTCACCTAGAAATACCAGTCCTGAGTGGTCTCAACCATGCCAAGTCCTCCTGATTTAAGGAATCAAGGCGTGAGTTCATGGAAAGTCCCATCATATCCTCTCCAGTGACAAAGTCCGCAGCTGGACGGCCTGAAAATGAAATTTCAACCTGCCTCATCTGTTGAATTGTTTCCATCTAAGTGGGAGAAAAACTTCAATGGATTAAACTACCCTGGAAATCGTGTTCCTAGAACCTGGACTATGTGTTGCAAAATTTGTCTTCTGCTACTGTTGTTTCCTTCGTACCTTCTTTGGTAGAAGGAAGGACCATGGGCCCAATACTTTAAGGAACATTGGGGAAAGAAGACTCAGAATATGAAAAGTTGCTTGCACAGGAATCTAAAGAAAATATAGGGAGTTATGAACTATTAAAAGTATAAAAGAATAAATTCAGGTGGAAGAGAAAAAGGGGGGATTGAAGGAAGTAAAAGTTATTCTTTTAATAATTGTAGAAATAATTGTAGAAATGTAATGCCATTATATGAAACTGTCTCTTTAGTACAAATGTAACACTGTAACGCGAATGTAACAATGCAATGCCAATAATGACCAAATGTTTACTGTTTCCTGCCTAAAAATCCTCTGCACACAGGAACTTAACACTTTGAGTACAAATCCTACTATCAAAGAGGGGGATTTTGACCCTAGGTGAAAATTACAAATAAACAAGATAACAGCAGATGGACAGAAGAGGTCAGGTTAACAAAGTACAACTTCAAAGTACATTATAAAGATGAAAGAGCTCTTTAGATGTGACATGCATTGTAGGGGTATAAAATGCAAAACTTGAAACCAGGCCAGGGTGCTCCTGGAAATCCAATCCATAGGGAAGGATCCAGGAGGCCCGTTTGCAAACGCTTCTCTTCTCTTTTCTTTTTATTCTTTTTATGTTATTCTCCAATAAAACTTTGTTTTGTTAACCAGACTTGTCTTCGTATTGTGAGTATCAAAATTTGGGGTTTTTACATCTCACAATAAGGACTGAAAGCCACGTTTAAAAGGACTTGAATGGGTAGTGGATCAGAACCCCTACCTATTTTGAATATCTCTATTAGAATTTCAGGTGACCCCAGACAAAGAACAAAAATATTGGTAGTGACTCATGAGAGAAGTAAAAGCGGTTTGTTACAAATAAAATGAATAACTAAGACAGAAGTCATACCATTAGAAACTGAAAACGTAGAATTGTACATTGTAAGAATTAGGTGGTAAATGTATATCTTTTGTTATTGTCACTGTGATTGCTGTAGCTGTAATTATTGTTGTAATTGTGGATCAATTTGTGGATGTGAAATACTGTGTAATAATCATGAGGGGTGGATTCTACTTCTAATATTACTGAAGACAACACACCAGAACAGCCTGGGAAATAAAGGTAAAAAAATTTGTGGAATTTAAAGGTAAATGACAATCATGAAGCAGAATGGATATTGCAAAAGGAATCAGGAATGTGGCCAAAGCTCCTGAACAAAAGTATGAAAATATGTAGGGTGATTGGAGCTGGTTAACAAATTGGCTTCCCAATTTTGGATGGTTAAAACAAATATTTATAGGACTAGTGTTTATAGTTGTGATATGTATTATGTGTTGTGTTTGTCTCCAATGTTTACCCTGCTGTATTTCATTTTGCACCAAAACATTGGGGTCAGTAGTGAAAAACATCTCTGGAGAAGATGTACAGATTCAATTTATGTTATCTAATATAGCCAAAAATGAAGATTCATCAGAGTATACAGAAATACAGGGGGGATTGATAAATATGCATCAATATGATAAATCTTCAGAGTCAGTTAAACCTACAAATGGTGAGAGTCAGGAAAAGATAACATATAACATAAAGGAAGTAAGATAAACAAATAGGAAAAAATAGCTGGGTCTGAGAAAGGAAGAAGAGAAGCCATAAAAATCTATATATATTTGTAAAAGGAAATGGCTAGCCAGGAAAAGACAGGTTGGAGAATAGGAAAATAAGCCGAATAAGAGAAAAGGCACACTGAATTGAAAAGCAGGAAAAGAACTTATTGTTTAAAATGGGGACATAAATATCTACTGAGTTTAAAATAATTTAAATGTCTATTTTTTCTTATTCTTATTGTATATGTGAATATGATTTAATATGTTATCAGGAAATGTGTATAGGCGGACGGAAAGAGTGTAACCTCATAGCACCTCAGCCAATGGGGAAAGAGGAGGGATGGAGCGGCCGGTGATAGGGATGAATAAAAGAAGGAGATGTTTTGGGTTAAAACTTTGGAGAGAACCAAGCTTTGATAGCTTCTCTCCCCGCTTATTGCAATAAACGAAACAAAAGGCCTTCACTGTGTCTTGGCTGGTTATTGGTCAGGCGAGCTTGCCTCTGGTCACGAAGGAAAGTAGCCAGGAGCACATAACATTTTCCATAAATAAATCCATTTATTTCTTTGGAAATAACTAAACTGTGGCTACCAAACACCACCAACAAGCCTCCATGTTTTTTCACTCAATTAACAAGTGCTAATAAAGACTGACAGATGAAGAAGCCACTTAATTGGGAATATAGTCCCAACAGGCATATAAGAGAGCTATATTTCTATAGACAAACCCATTTAGCAAAATTGCACTACCATAACCGAAACTCTGAAAGGCAGTGGTACCATATAGCGGTACCAGACTTTGACCTTATACTGTAAAGGTAAATATTTCTGCAAGATGCAATACTCACTTGGTATGATTGTAAATACTGCTGTACAATTGCAACCCATTCATTGCATGTCCAATGCAAAGCCAGATTACTTGACTCTTAATACATACTGTACATTGGAATGTGTATTATTCAGTTTTCCAAATTTCACATGTAACATGTAGAAAATGAGGAACTTCTGAACATTTGATTTCTCACTCTCATTATTCCTACAAAATGCTTACATCTATGTAATCAATCCCAAATCCAAGCAAGCAAAAGTTAGACTCTCTATGGCTAAAGGAAGAGCCTTAAAATCAGTAACCTGGAGACAGGCTTTTAGGTAAAAAGGGGGAAAAAACTGATAAACAGCTGACCCACTGCCTTAATAGGGACAACCTCATTCCAGTGATAAACAAGAGGGTAAGCCAGCTTTCCTGAATCTAGCATTCTCTCATCCCATCCACTATAGTCTATAAGCATATATAACACTGAGGGAAAGCTGCTTTGTCCAATTAAAATACATCAGGGAAATGAGATATAGTTGAACAATAAACTACTCTCAAGATTATGAATAAATTAAAGCAATGGCTATGATAATTTATGTTGCTTGAAAATTATGGGTTATATTTCCAAATTGAGGATAATGAGAAATTTAAAGGAAGAGAGCTAGACATTTAAATTTAAGATGATTAGACATGTGAACACAAAACATGTGCTTTGTCAAAAGTTACGCCCAATTTGCCTGGCTAAGCCTCCAGCTGGCTTGCACAGTAAGAATGGGTGGCCAACCGTGGCTTGAATTTTGAAAGATGGTTAAACTATTCATCACTACTGTGACTGGCAACTGATCTTCTGCTGGCTTATAAATTCCAATGTAGTAGCATATTCATAACCTTTAGGGTGACTCTTGCAGTGTACATGACCAAAGTTCAGTATTTTTATGTTATTTTAAACTTCCAGCCTTTCAAAATGAAAATATTTTTGTTGGGTGGCAAGAGAAAAGTCAAAGTTGACCAGTACTGCTGATAAATCAAGAAAATATGAAACATATTTATTTCTTGGCCAACCCAAATGAAATAATCTGAACTATTCATGAGAAGGATTGCACAACTTTATTCATAATTTTATAAAACTGCAATACTAGAGTTTGAGAATTCCTGGATTAGGCAATATTTAACAAGTAAATTACCAGAAAAAATATTAACTTGAAAACTATTTAGTGTTGCTACTCAAACTACATGATTAAGAACATCAAGATGCAGTTTAAAAGCCAAGTGGAAATAAACAAGAAACAGTTTATGCTGTGAATAGTTTCTGAATGTAGGTTCAATATATTCAATGACTTGAAAAACCATCTTCACAAGATTCTTACCTTGCTAACATTGAGTGAAGCTAAAGGTGGGGGTGTTTCTGTGCGGTCATTGATTATGTTAACTTCTGATACATACTGTAAATTTATAAGTAAGATATCTGCGTGGTTAGGTTTACCACTTGAGGAAGGGCATTCTGGGGGGAAAACATTAAGGAAACATACAAAGGTTGTATAGCAGCTCAGAAAATGATACACTTCTATGAAGGAAGAATTTATATTTATGGTACATTCAATATAATCAGGATTGCCTCCTGAGAATAGTTGCAAACAAAGGCAACAGCACAGGATTTGTTCACTTAAAATATTGAGCAACAGGTGCTAACTAAACCAAACCCCACCCCATCATTTTCTTAGTAACCATCAGTTCCACTGTAAAACTGCTGTAAGGGCACACAAAATCTGTGTGGACTGTTCATCCATGAGGCTGCTGTCAAATCACCCTGAACACTAATTTCATTGTAATCAAATAAACAAGCTTTCTGGGTGAGATCAAAGATTTACTTCTTCAGCCTACCACACCAATGCAACAGTGTCTTGTGCTGCTACTCTGCAACACCATGGATAGTCCTTTTCCTCCGTGAATTTATTTACAGTAGTTCACCCTTCCAAAGCCATACAGGTTGAAATGAATTGCACTTGGAAGGCAGAGTAGGTGTGGAATTATCCTTTCATGTCTCGCTAAACCCATAGATATTACACTATGGCATTCTAATAAACAAGAAAAATGTTTCCTGCTGCCATATCAGCTATAGATATTATTGCCTTCAGGGGTGTCAAACTGCCGGCCCATGGGCCGGTTGCATCACGCAGAGGCCATGCCCACCCCAGCTCTGGCAATGCAAAAAAAAGTTACGATACATCACAACACATCACATGACGTAGCGTGTTTGACACCCATGCCTTAGGTGAAGATGCCAGATAGACCATTGCATTGCTACGACATGTTATCCCAAACCTAGCTCCTTGCCTTTCAATTGCTATAAATGTACTGTACATCACACTGAAATAGTATATTAAAACCTCTCCCTATCACTCATAAAGTCAACTTCTCGGAGTTCTTCCTCAACTCAAGAACTATGGCCCAGGCCATGAGTGCCTGAATGTGCTCAGTGAAGATCCATAGCAGTTATAAGAGATAACTATTGAAGACTAAAAGCACCTTTCTCTTTTGCCACAAATCTTTTTCCAATTCAAATTGCATTCCAGTTCACATAACAGTATAAAATATCCCAAACCAAATACTCTCAGGAAGGATTTACACATACACACTTATCACTCAATAGCTACATCAAAAGCAATTACATAAACAGCAAATGAAGACTTACAATTTATTGACTTGCATACAATGCTTTCCAAAGACAATTATTCATACATTTAGATTACTATCCATCAAATGCTGAGAAGTATTACACATTTTCTGTGAGTTATATCAAGCGCAGATGCTTTTCTACCAATCAAGGCTGCCGCCAACTTCCTCAGGTTTAACTTAAATCTTCAGTCTCAATAAAACCCTGCACCAGTCTCCATTCCTCCTACTCCACCAAGCACCCTAGCTCCATAAATTATATATTAACATATCCTCCAATTTTTCTCCCATTTCTATTACAATGCCAGAAAGCACTTTCTGGACTTCAGTTTTCACATCTTATCCATCCATTAGCACTCCATTTCCCCACAACTTTCCCTTCCTTAACTAACTTAATGGCTCTTCCTCACTGTCCTTCCTGTACAGCAGGCATGTCCAACCTTTTGGCATATCAAATATATAATGTATTTATTATATACATATACATTAAAACACTATCTTGTGGGGCCGCATTACCCGCTATCCAAGGCTGCAAGGGTCCCATGGGCTGCGGGTTGGACACGCCTCCTGTACAGGTTCACCTCTTGGTCCAGATTCCCCATTCCATATTGAAACAGTAATTGCCTGGCTCAAATGATACCCAGACAGCACTTCACTCAAGTCTTCTCTTTCAAAATTAGCCCCCCCCTCCCCGAAAACCACGCTCATAGGTTTCCGGAGTCTTTGACGTAGAGCTCACTCCAGCAACAGCCCCAACCTTTCCAAATCTGTCACAGCTCAAGCTGCCTCTAGCTGCCGAAGGAGCGAGCTCACGTGCCCCCTTCCCATACAGCCCTCTCGTAGGCCCGGTGCCGGCGTCCCCTCGCCCTATTCTTCTTCCAGTCAGGATACTGAGTGCCAACATCTTGCTGGGGTAATCAAAAGCTACCACCTCGCCTTGCAGCCGCTGCTCCTGGCAAGTCCGGCACGACACCTGACTGCCCACACTGAAGTACTCGCCCGGGGCCGCCATTTTGTTTCAGGTCCAGGCCCCCTTCGTTCCCCAGCTGCGCCTCTGCAACCTTTGCCGAGGTGGCAGAAGGGAATGCGCGAAGAAAGGGAGCGCCGAAAGATCCCAGTGCGCTCGACTCTTTATTTAGCCGCCTAGCTCCTTCAGCCTAGGCGGAAAAAAAAGGACGAGTGGCCAAGGCGACGGGCGCCCTGCCTGTACGTCAGCCGCTCACGCACGCACGCACGTACGTGATGTCACCTCGCAAAGCGAGAAGCGGTTGGTTAGCTGTTCGACAGTTCCTTCTTAGGGAGGGGCGAGGATCCCTTTCCAACGTTCAGAAAGAACGTGACGCAGAGACCGATTAAAAGAGCGCCGGGAAACGAGTGGGTCCTGGAAGGACAACAGGGTGGCCATGAGCCGGCGAATCTCCTGCCCCGGGGGGGGGGGAGTAGGAGGCGTTTGGGCTGGGACTTTATGCAGGTTTTCTTTGAAATAAACCCGGGTAAGGTTTGCTTGAATTGGTTCTCAATAAATGGGCATAGAACTTCACCCTTACTACGAGGGGATGCGTCGCGGATATGATTCTACATACAGTTTTACTGTGTAGTAAAGGCTGCTTCTGAGCAAGCACGCTTACATTTCAGTTGTAAGACTGCAGGCTACCTCTTCGAGAGTAAATTTAACCTGCAATAAAACTGCTGTCAGAATAATTTGGGGTTCCAGCTCGAGCCGGGGCTGTGCAAGAATAAATAAAAATGAGATCCAGACAGCTGTGAGGAAAGAAGAAATATTTATTCCTAAAAGCAAAACAGCTTGCCTTTAGGGGCAGCTGCCGAGAAATGGGGTACAGCGGCAGACTTTTATAGGGGGAGCTTGTTCGGGGTGTGGAAGTGTCTACGTGCTGATTCTAGGGCAGGGGTAGGCAACCTTGGCTCTTTTATGACTCGTGGACTTCAACTCCCAGAATTCCAGCCATTCTGAGGGGAAAGGGAGAGTTTCCAAGCTGAGCCATGCTGGCTCAGGAATTCTGGGAGTTGAAGTCCACGAGTTATAAAAGAGCCAAGGTTGCCTACCTCTGTTCTAGGGTGACACTTGGGCGTGTGTTTGTGTGTAGGTATGTTTATTGTGAACAGCAGTTCCGCTGGGAGACCTAATTTAGTTAACTCTGCAGACCTTATCCTTTGATATGTGGATTAGGTCTGGGTAACTTATTTGGGGGTTTGAGGAAGATTGCTAATTTTAGTTGATTAACTTAGTTTCAGCTTGACTGTCAATTATCTAGTGGAGACACTGATTCTCAGACCATTGTGGATTCTGTTAATGTTTTAAGGGAAGATGGAAACAGTAAAGAATAAAATATATTTGGATATAAAACTTCTCACATTGCCTACAATGGACTGAAGTCTGAAGCGGTGGACGAACTCACGGAAAGTTTGCAGGGACTAGTATCTCACAGTCAAAAATGCACTGCCATTAGGATGCAATGGTAAATGCTGTTTTGAGGAGAACTGCATTTAGTTCAGATAAAGTTAGGATCGTTTATTCATCAGTTTAATAGCCGGTCTTTCCTCCATGAGATTAAGATGGTGACCACAGCATGCTCCTCTTCAAGCATTTCCCCAATACAGTTGTGTTGGGTTGTGAAATAATGCCCAACCCCATTATCCGGTTTCTAAAGGTAGACTTGAACCTCCAATCCCTTTAAGCTCTACACCAGTGGTTCTTAACCTGTGCGATATCGTCCCCCAGGGGGCGATTTCATTTTTCAGGGGGCGATGGAACGAAAAGGGGCGACGTGGGGGCGAAGGAACGAAAAGGGGGCGATATGGGGGCGATGGAGCGAGAAGTTTTGGGGACACTTTTGAGCCTTCCCCTGCAGCTCTGAGCCTCCTCCGCCATTTGCAGACAGAGACAGAGAGAGGCACTTGTGCCTCTCTCTCTCTCTCTCTCTCTCATGTGGATTTGCCCCCTCGCAGGGCTGCTGATTGGCCCTGCCCCCGGGTGCCCCGCCCCCTGGGAGAAGCGCGGCCAGGAAGTCCCTTTCCCTGGCTGGCCCCATCTGAGGTGCACATGGCCGGGGAACCGCGCGGGGAAGGCCCGGGATCCCCGCTGGGAGCAGCCCGCCAGAGCCTCAGCTGAGCAAGCCAGCCTTCCTGCAAGCTGTGGCCCCGAGGGAGAGCAGCCCCTGCGATCCCCAGCCGCGGGACCATTGGCCCAGCTGGCCGGGAAGGCGAGCCGGAGTCCCGGCTGCTTTGTCGGAGAAGATTGTGAGGTGAGCAGAAGATGGGGGGGAGAGAAAGGGAGGGGGAGGCATTTTCCAACCAGCAGCAGAAGAGCCCCGGCCGGACCCGCAGGAGCACCTCCTCCTGGGGCCCGGCGCCGGCTTCCTTGCCCATTTAAGTGTCTTGAATAAATAAGATAAGAATGAAATACATGTATCACGAAGTTTGGGAATAAAGTGCCGGGTGGCACCAAAATTTTTCACACAGTTGAGATATGGGGAAAAGACTGGAAATAAACTATTTGCATCGATATGTCCTGATGACAATTTTAAAGAAAACAAAAAAAAGTGTTTGCATAAATTGAAGAATTATTTCCTATGTTGTGATTGAGAGGGGAGGGGGGCGATGACAACTTCCTCATTTGCTCAAGTGGGCGATTCGTTCAAAAAGGTTAAGAACCACTGCTCTACACTACGGTAGCTTTCAATGTGTTACCTCAACACCTGTGATTTTCCATCTGTCCCCTTTCAGATATACATTTATATATTCAGTTAGATAACAAGATTCCTGTGGCATTTTAAAGAGTACAGTAATTTATTATACCAAGGTTTCTGGACAGCTTACAAATGTCCAAAGAATCAGAATGCAATTCATAAACATTTATGTCATAAAACCTGTTGGTCTTTAAGGTGTAATCAACTCAGATGTTCTTGTTACAAAGCCAACATGGCTATTCTCTGGAAATTCCCATACTTGCAAAATTGTTACAGGTAGTCCTTGACTTACAACCATTTGTTTAGTGGCCAGTTACAATGGCACTGAAAAAAGTGACTTATGACCAATTTTCATACAACTGTTGCAGCATCCCCATGGTCTACGTCACAGGTGTCAAACTCGATCGCGTCACGTGATGTGATGTGACTTTTTTGCCTTTGCGGAGCTGGGGTGGGCGTGGCCTGTGTGTGACGCATCCGGCCCGTGGCCCTCCAGTTTGACACCCGTGGTCTACGTGTTCAAACTTCAAAATTCATTCCTTGTTCATGAGCTCTGCAGACATGCCTGCTGATGTGTTTGCCCCGGGAAATGTGTGGGCTTCAGAGGGGAGGAAATGTAGTTTTTCTCACCCTGCAGAGTATGATAATCTTTATCCCTTTTGTGTGCCTAGGTGTTGGATTTTTGAGTGGTGTGTCTGGTGTTGGGGGAGCAGCATTGTGTGGGTAAAGGATTCCCATATCTTGAGGGGATTTTCTTTAGTTAGGATTATGTTGTTGGTATTTGCCAATTTCCTAATAGGAGACACAGTCCATTTCCGCCTATGTGTCAATATCGGTGAAAGGCTTAAGTGGTCTTTTGTTTTATTGTTTGTGGGTTCACTGAAGGGTCAGGAGAGATCCAGGCCTGGGAGTGGAGTGGATGTCAAGGGATGAGGTGGGTGACAGGGGTGGTGTATGGGCATTTTCCTCCTACACTGCTTAGTTTCAAAAATATTTCTTTTTAAATGGAAGGCAGAGTGTGACAGGCATTTATTTTAAAGGATCAGTTGTAATTCAATAGATTTCATCCTGAATACATATGGATAAAATAGGGTGCTACTTTAACTGCAGTCATAAACAGGTTAGAAAAATCATTGTATACAAAGCATATATAGAATTTGTAAAAATATGGATAATTGACATTTTCTCTGAAAACTGAATCACTATTTTGGACAAATAACATTTGGGAGAATATATTAAATCTTAATTTCTGGCTTTTCATGAAAGTGGGGCTACTGTATCTTGGCCTCAACTTATGACCACAGTTGGGTGCAGAACTTCTGTTTGATCACATGACCACAGGGATGCTGTGACAGTTAAAAGTGGGAGGACCAGTCATGAATCACTTTTTTCAGCACCGTTGTAACTTTGAACGGTCACTAAATAAATGATTGTAAGTTGAGGACTGCCTGTAGATGGCAATACTGTACAGAATTACAGAGTGCTTCTGTACCAGAGACAAATCCCTTATTTATGTTTAATTTTATTTAATATATAAAATACAAAGAAAATATAGAAATAGGAAATTAAGGGAATGAAAAGGAGAGGGGAAGAGACGGTGTGAGGTACAAAGGAAAAAAGAAAAAAAAAGGCATTGACGGCCGACTCTTTTTAGCACAGTACAAGATAAAAACATGCCAGCCTCAACTTACACATTAATATATAACTAGCCATTTCTATAATGACAAATCTAATTGACAAAACCAAAGTCAACGTTTCATTTTTTTTCATCACAAGTAAAAAATCCAGAAGTGATATCCAAATGAAAAACATACTCAAATATATTCTCCTCTTTGAATAGAATTATCAATTTAACCATTTCTGTTTTACCTTCCTTGCTGTGGAAATAGGATGCATTTCTATTTGCACCTAATGAACTTTGTAAACTAAAAAAAACCACTTTTATTAACAAAGTTAACTATATACTTTCAAATTCTTTGACCTTACCAGAAAAAATCCTTTTCTTTTCTTTTCCACCCTTTTTTTTAAATGCCAAAGTTTCTTTAAACACGTTTCTAGAATCAAAACTTTCTGATACATCTTTTTCTTTAACTTCTTAACAATACAGGCTTTGAACTTCAGTATTGAATTTAGCTCCCACCCTCCAAACTACCCTTATAGAATAATATTTTTTCCCTTTTATAAACATCCTTTTTAAAACAAAGTTTTTCTTTAAACTGGTACATCATTTTCTTTAACTTTCTCTTAACACAAATACTCTCAAATACATTTTCAGTAACATTTTGCATACTTTAAAAATTACTTAAGCATTATATATATAAAAAATTACATTTTCAAATTTTAGATTAAATCTTTCAATTACAAATATAAAACAGAGAAAAATCCATCCTAGATCCAGTTAACTCATTAATTTAAGTCACTCCTTCCAGCTTGTCATTATGGAGTAAAATCA